CAGTATTAGTATCCCAATGGTCTAGGCTCGGAACGGCTCTTCCTGCCTGCTTATTATAAACTCATTAGAGCACTTTTATAGCAGCCGATCAAAATAAAATAATTTCAACTGAGTGATTATGCAAAACTAGCGACTGGCGTGACACACTTAAAACCCTTGGGTGAAGGGAGGTCACGTAGTAGTTCCGATCCGTCTGGGGCCAGGTTTAGGCTAGGCTGATGCTCTCTATTAGAAGGTTAGCACCGCAGGCTCTGACGGCCTCCCCAGGTGCAGCTCAGCTACACCTTGAGTATCTGTGGACAAAGGAAACTACCAGGAAAGCTGGGCTAGTGCCAGGTCAGGGAGCTGGAACAGAGAGAGCTGGGAAGTCCGAGGCAGCAAGTGATGACATAGACAGTTTGCTAAGCATGGCGGAAGTCCTTTGCAGAGTGGGGTAAATCGGAAGCCATGGGGACTGGGGTGTGTGTGAACAGGGACTCGAAACCCTGGTAAGCCCAGATCAGATATGCAGAGGGTGGGAATTGGAAATGAGATGATAAAACACTTGAGAACGGTCCTGGGGAGGAGCTGTAGTCTGCATGTGAAGAGAAAGCTTCTTAGGCCATCACACCCAGGCAGGGCTCTGGCTGGCAGGGACACTCCTGGTGACAGCTGAGCCCCAAGGTAGGGGGAAGACAGGCATCAGAATCCAGGTGCAGAGGAGGAAAGATGACTTCATCAGGACCGAGACAGGCAAAGGTTAGGTGGTGTGCCCTGATTAGAAACACATATTCCCCCAGGAGGTTTATGCACGTGGAGTCTGCCAAGGCAGGGCCTCAGAGGTGTCTGTGCTCCACTCGAAGCTGGAGCAGGGAGTCAGAGTGAGTAGGCTCTTGTCTGCTGGTGACAGTAACTTCCATGATATATGAGGCCACAGGAGAAGCACTGGGTCCAGAGATGCCAAATCTGAGTCTGAATACTCCTTCAGCTACCATCTGAGCATTCTGGACAGGTCTTGTTTTCTTGTCTTCAGTTTCTGCATTTCAGGTCACAGCAGCCCAGGAATGACAGTGGCATTGTAAGTATTCAAATCCTTGAAGTATTCAAGTCTCTGTTGCTCCAAATTGGGTGGGTGGGTGATGCCACTGTATTGTGGCAGTCATGAACTAGAAGCATGTTTCCAATTTTTGTGGACTTTGAAACTACCCAAGGCAACGTGACCACAGTCAGACCAGTCAGTCTTCCCAGAAGCAGAATATTCATCTCCACGTGAGCAAAGCTGCAAGTCTGTTACAGGGGATCTTGAAGACAGTGGAAAACAATGTCCCTGATATACCGCTGAAAATGGTTCCATGTGCATCCCGGCTTTAAGCAAAACTTCCTCTCAGAGTGTAGCCTGGTGGTTGGCATTTGGGATTGGAACACTTGCTTCCTCTTTCCTTGTGTTCATGCCTCCACCTCCTTCATGGCTTCTCTAGGCATTGCCCTCTGGCAAGTATGTGACAGAATTATACCCAGAGGTAGCTTGTGGGCTCCCAAGAAGGGTCTTTGGGGTGAAGACACAGACTCCTTGCTGAGAAATCCAGGGAGTGGGCAGCTTGGCAGTAGAAACAGAAAGGGAAAGGTGGTCCAGCAGGCCCAGCAAGGCAGGATTGGTTAGGCTCTAGGGAATTGGCTTTGTGTTGTGAAGCAGTCAAATGCTGGAGCCATCAGAATGGAAGGGCCTTCTAGGGGGACAGAGACTAAGGCCCTCCCTTAGGGATAACCGGAGTGACCAGAGGATTGGACAGATCACACTGTCCACCCTTGTCTCTGAGGTCCTGACAGTACATAAAATCTGGAAATTTGAAAATCTCGGGGTGTTTACTGTGAATCCCAGCCCAGGGAGATCCAGAATTCAAGCACAGAGTAAGTCAATTTCTAGAAAATAAAGAAGCAGTGTGACAATCTGGCATGTCTGAGCACGTCCACGTTAGGGACTCGTCCATTGTTTTGTCACTTCGGAGATGGAGATGGGGTCATATCTCTGAGCAGCCTGTGGCCCTGAGCTCAGCAAGGCCAGGGGTGGCTTTTGGTACCACCGTCTCTGTTACATATGTGCAGAGTTCAAATCCTTGCCGGCTTTCCCTTCCTCGAAACAGGGGTGACTGTGAAGGGCAAATGAGATGGGCAATACAGCTCGGATCTCTGGGTCTCTTACAGTATCTCACACACTGCATTTGGTTCATTGACTACCAAATTACTTATTGACCACGAGAGTGCTCTAAGCCACATTGAAACTGAGTCCAGATAGACAGCTAGTCCAATGACACTGGGTGATGGTTTTTGTGGTGGTTTTGGGAGTGTGAACATGAACCCGACAAAGGGTCAGTTCGCTTGTCCTGAGTGTAGCAGAGGGGCTTTGAGCGACTAGATCTCAAGCAGACATGATGAGTGTGAATCCTAGCTCGGCACTGAACCTCTCTCGGTCCTTAGAACAATGCCTGGCTACACATAGATGCTACCGATGCACTTGCCACGATTACCGTATTATTAATTTGGTGAAGGGGAAAGTGTCTTTACCGTCATAAGGTAAAGTTGAGGGCTGGAGAGATGGCTTGGCAGTTAAGAGCACTGGCTGCCCTTGTGGATAACCCAAGTCTACCTCCCAGCGTTCACTCTGACAGCTCACAACTCCCTGTCACTCCAGCTCCAGGGGCTCTCGTGGCCTGTTCTGGCCTCCAAGACCTGTGCTTCTGTGCACACCTCTCACCTGCCTATAACCCCAGCACATGGGAGACCGGGCTAGCGAGATAAGAACTTCAAGGTCAGTCTGGGTGACACAGAGTTCCAGGGTAGCCTGGGCTACACCAAGTCTCTAAACAAAAAAGCAGAAAATTCTCTGAGAAGAGGAGAGGAGAGTAAAAGAAGACATGGTCAGAACCATGAAGGAAGTCAGTGTGGAAAGGTTGGTGTACCGAGGGAAGGGGAGAGAGAGAGATTGGCAGGCAGTCGGGGGGGGGCATGCTGCAGGAGCTGGGGCTGCAGAGGGAGCTGAGCCTATGAACCATCGGGCTATTCTTCAGCCTGGTCTGGTCCTTGCCAGGTTTCGAAGTTGAACTTCTTAACATCCAGCCCTTCCAAGTGTTCTCTGCTTCTCCCAGCCCCCATAGCCTGTTTCTTGAAGTTAGCAGATGCCACGATATGACTTTCCTTGACTGTGCTCTGATTGTCTCACTGGTGTAGGTTTCTGCCTTCCCACCGACACCTGGACAACCCAGAACTGTGGGAGCCATGCCCCAACCTTGTCTTTGTCCCACAGAGCTGAGTACACCATAGGATATGGTTCACACACCCGAAGACCCTGACACTGGGGCTAGAAAGATATAACTGAGTGTGTGGGTCTGCCCTCTGCCTTCTCCACAAAGCAAAGAACGGAACAAACACATCTGGGCTCAGTAACTGGCTACTTACCCCGGACTGAGAGCATTCATAGACAAACAGAACGGTTCCGATTCTACTCCTCAGAGGGGCTAAAGCTGAGCGTGCAGGGAATTAACAAAGAAACCTGTGGCCTGGAGACATCAGCCCCAGGAGAGGTCTTCCCTCCTCAGACAGAACTAAAACCGGACAGGATTAGCTCTGCAGTCACACAGTGAAATCACGAAGCTTTTCTTGCTTTGCTCAGAGCGATATAGCTTGGAGGCGAGTGATCTCGGGCCATCAGTTAGGATGGGCTATCTTCCAGGATGACCATTAAACCCATATGTATGAGCTAAGTCATCCCGATTTTTATCACAGGAGCTGTTTTTGGTACCGCCCTGTAATCAAGTTTGGCCTAGGTCCATCCTCTGAGACACCCCTAGAAACCCCACCACAGTGTGCAAGACTAAGTAAGCAGTTAGAAGACCAGAACCCAGGGCCCTCTTCCCAGGATTCCCTCCTGACTCTGCATGGCATGCTGGGAGTTCCTCACTATTGATTTCTTGCCCCAGAGAATTAGGTGAATGGAGTCAAGAACTACGTACAGATCTTGGACAGACTACTCAGAGTTAAGTTCTTTGAGGAAAGGCAGAGAAAAGAGGCCAAGCCGTGTGTGTGTGTGTGTGTGTGTGTGTGTGTGTGTGTGTGTGTGTGTGTGTGAGAGAGAGAGAGAGAGAGAGAGAGAGAGAGAGAGAGAGAGAGTCTTATTGCCTCCTGTGACCGTGGTAGATTGCAGATTAAGTGTTTCACATCCCATTCCAGGCACTGGGCAGGAGGGGAGGCATTGCTCATGCAGGGGTGTGGGAGGGGAGGCATTGCTCCTGCAGGGGTCTGATAGGAACATCCCACAGCAACAGTGTAAAGGGCCCTGCGGTCAAGCTGCTTGTCTGTGGGCAGTGCTACCCTGATGTGTTCTGAACACTAGCTAACTCTAGGGCTCACCCACGGCAGTCGCCCCACTTTCTAACACACCCTCTCTACCAAGATAACCAACAACGAGGTTGTCCCCCAACCCACCATCACTCCTCAGGGACCATCATTACAGCTATGGCTTTACAGAACTGAGCCACGGCTGTAATCGCCAAAGGCAGGATGACTTTCTTCCGGGCCTCAGAGCCAACAGTATTCACATGGAATCGGTCGGGCTGGCCAGGTAGAGTGTTCAAAGCCTTCGCTGCCAGTGGACATTTTAAGGCGTCCATAGCTCAAGTGATGGCGACTGCCTCCCCTTTCCAAGGAAGGTAGTGATTCCTGATCACCACTGGCCTCTTCCAGAGGGTGGGGCCAAAGGTGAAAGCCAGGAAAGTGACACACTAGGAATCTTTGTTCTAAACCCAGCATGCAAGCGACTTGTCAGTTCTAGAGTAGCCCTGCTGGGCACAGGATAGGCACCCTTATCTAGCTCTCGGCTCTGCTCCCCATTCACCGCCAGGGGACCCCAGTTTCCACAGCACCGAGTGACAGAGTGCGCCTTCTAGGGGCTGGACGTCAGGCGGGAAAGAAAGTTAAAAGGTCCCAGGACCAACCCAGGAGGAGGGAAGAGGGGCGGTGGCACCAACCGTGTCCAGTCGTGTCCCGGCGTGTCCAGCTGCGTCCCGGCCCCCCGCCGGTCTCAGGGAACCCGCTGCAAGACTCCCTGCAACTACAAGGCATTCACCTCCCAAGCAGGATTTCCCCACACCGCGGACTCCTGGGGCTGACCTCCTTTCACTACAGACACCAAAGCTGCAGCGGAGCGCTGGGATCGGGAAGGCCCTGCCTGCCGCTGGGGGCTCCGCCCACAGCCCCGACCACGCCCACTTTGTGGTCCGTGCCTGTCTTTCCTAAAAGTCCTATCCAGAAGTCCTAGGCAAGTTACCTCAGCCTAGGTACCCTCTTTGCTCTCTTGCCAGGGGGGAAGACCTTTATCTCTGCTGCGATGATTTTGTGACTGAGGCAGGAGAGAAAGCAGAATTGGGGTTGGCGGCGGCTATTGGCTATCATAGAGCTCAGGACAGGAGGCAAAGGGCAAGCCCTGACTTCTGAAGATACCCCTAACCATGCGTTGAAATAATCTAGACCAGCACTGACCCAGGCAAGAAAGCCTAGGCCCGAGTCCAGAAGTGCTCTACAGAGCCGCCGCTGCAGAACCGGAACCCATATAATTACTTCCATTCTTGCCTGTGGTCTTTGACCTGTGCCAAATTCAGACCAAATCCTGAAGATGCGCTTGGGGTGACGCTGGATGGCGTCTTTCCCTTTAATACTCAGCTGCACCCTCTGTCCTAACTATTGAAGGTGTGTGCATATGTGTGTGTGTGTGTGTAGATACATGTGCACATGTGTTTAAATGCCAGAGAGCCATCTCTGGTATCATTCATTAGGAGCTGTCCATCTTGCTTACGGAGACAGGGGCTCTCTCTGCACTCTCCAAGTAAGCTAAGCTAGTCAGCCTTAAGCTAGAAAGCCCAGGGATCTGCGGGTCTCTGTCTCTCCAGTGCTGGGATTACCAGCAAGGGCCACGGTGCCTGGATGTTTTTACATGGGTCCTGGGAATTGAACTCTGGTCCTCACGCTTGCACAAACCCTTTGCCACCAGAGCCACCTGCCCAGCCTAGTACTGAATATCTTAAGGTGGGATTTGGGTCCGCAGAGGCTCCTGCGTGTGACCTAAGGCTGAGGAAGGAAGCTGTGATTTCCTTCAGAGACTGTAAGAGAGCAGGGACGCTCTCTGTCCTGCGAGCCCACTGTCCTTCTGTCCGAACTTCCCTTTTCCTTCCCACTCTCGTTCTGCTCCTGGGGGGAGGGTGCACGGTGGGGGCAGGGCAATGTCTGCTCTGCTGAAGGAAAGAAAAGGCTCCCAGAGCTTGCTGCCACTAGAGTGTTACAACGCGGTGATTTTTATAAGAAGGTGAAGAAGTAGCTTTCGGGGTTGGGGAGGGCAGGTGTGAATCCCAGTTCAAGGACAGAAGTGGCACAGTCTGGGTAAGACTGGGGTTGCATGCGGCTTGGACAAAGACGACAGCTGCCTCTTGTAACTGGGGTGTAATCCCAGGGTGACTCACACTCCCCCTCCCTGCCTGACAGCTAGGTGATATGATCAAGGAGGGCAGGAGGGATAGGTTAAAACGAAGCCTGGCACTTAATTACCATGGAAGATCTCATTACAGAGTCTTCTCAGCTCTCCTCCTTGGCTGGCAGCTTGAAGCCCGAGTGACAAATTGCCTCAAGTGGCTCTCCACAGGCTGAGTGCAGAGGGATAGACCTGCTTCCCTGTCCACCTGTGCTGCAGGGTTGCAGGGGGGAGGTTTCTAAGTCCCAGAAGGAGGTGGTGTCCTGAGCATCAACACTTAACCTAAGGAGCCTTGTGGAGGGAGCCTACTGGGTCCCTGTTAGTGGGACCGAGGACAAGGCCAGGGAGTGACAGTTACAGTGTACCATTTGCTTCCTTTGTAGAACAATGAGAAATTTATCATAGGGGTGTTGGGAATATGAAGAGGGACTCCTAAGGTCCTGCCCTGCTTGACACCTGATTTTGGATAATTATTCTGGTTCCCTGGGCCCCAGAGACCCTGTTGTCAGAATGGAAGGCCCTAGCTGGAGCGTTCTTTCTTCATGGTTCCCCCATCCCCTCTAGCATCATATCTTCCAAGGGAATATTCCTAACACTTCTACAGATGGTCTCCACCTTATGGTGGTTCTGTTTGTAGATTTGTATCTATATAGCTATATGTAAATATATAGGTAGATGTGTGTGGGTGTGTGTGGACGTGCACGCGCGCGTGCGCGCGCGCGCACACACACACACACACAAACACCACTGTGGTAGCCACAAAAGGGTGTCAGATCCCCTGGACTGGCAGTTACAAGAGGCTATGGATAGCTAGATGTGGGTATTGGGAACTGAACTTGGGTTCTCTGTAAGAGCAGCAAATGTTCTTTTTTTTTTAAGTTTTCTTTTTCATTTTACATACCAACCACAGTTCCCTCTCCCTTCCTTCCTCCTGCTCCCCTCCACCATCCACCCCTACCCAATCCCCCATCCACTCTTCAGAAAGGGTAAGTCCTCCTATGGAGAATCAACAAAGTTTGGCATATCAAGTTGTGGCAGGACCAAGTCCTTTCCCACCCCATCCCTCCACCCCCATATCGAGGCTGAGCAAGGTATCCCTCCATATCCATGTCAGTTCCTGCCAATTCAGATAAATTCTGGTCCCACTGCCAGTGGCCCCACAGACTGTCCAAGTCACAGAACTGTCACGCACATTCAGGGGCCTAGTTTGGTCCTATGCAGGTTCCCCACCTGTCAGTCCAGAGTCGGTGAGCTCCCACTGCTCAGATCAGCTGTCTCTGTCGGTTCCCCTTCATGATCTTGACCCCTTTAAGACCAGCAAGTGTTCTTAACTGCTGAGCCGTCTCTATAGCCGCTTATTCTTGCTTCTGTACAGCCAGCAGGCCACACTCCTGCTTAACCACATGATCTTAAGAGCAAACAACGAAACCCTGTGGTATATTGCTTCTGAAGCTTTGATGTTTGGTAGGTGGGCTAAACTAAACAAATACCTTCTCCTTTTATGACATTTTCCATTTGCAATGAGTTGATTAAGTTACAACACCATCATGAGGCAAGGAACTTTCATCTACATTAGACCCGTCACCTTGTTGTCTGGAAACCCATTCTTTTCCCTTCCCAACTCTCACTTCAGTCTGTAATTTTCTATTGATATGTTCTATATCAAAGTGAACCTCTCCTTCAAACGGACAGACCTGACAGCCTGGAAGCAGCATGAGGAGAGAATCCTTACCTGATTTTCTCACTTCAAATTTAGAACCTGATAAGGGTTTCCCAATGAATATTTGTTGCCAAATGAATGAATGAGCACTCTTAGACATCTTCATTTTAAAATTAGGACTCAGCCTGTGACATAGGCACTAGTGACTATTGTTTAAAAAAAAGTCTTAAAAAGCACTAACCCAAACAAGATCCAGGAAAGTGCAAACCCCAAGATTCACTAGGTGCTTTCTAAAACTGACCATCTTTTCAGCAGCCACATATTCAGTTTCCCCTACAGACCTTGTATTTCTTGCCAGGGGTACTAATCTGAGTAAGGTCTGCCTTTCAGCACCAGGGAGCTTGTATTCCTGTAGTGGGGTTCATATGGAAACAAAGGGTTAGGAGATGATTTGATAAATGCTTTAATAGCATGTGGTTCTAACGCTGCCTGGAAGACCCTCAGTCTAGGACCAGTTGATACAGTAGTTGCAGGCAAGAGATGGGACAATTTCACTAGCTGGATGGGACAGTAGAGAATGTTCTATATGAAGAAAGAGTGAAGGAACGTGGCTTGTTTGGAAAACCGCTGGTTCAACGAATTTGTATCTGTGAGAAAAGGGCAGGAGGAGATGAAGAGGAGGTGGACAGGCCCAGATCAGAGGTCTGTGAACCCGTGAGCAACTTGGAGTTCGTACCACAATTCCAGGTTACAGCCCATTGTGGGGGTGGGCAGAGGAAGACAGTAAGAGCTTAAAACCGTTGATCCCGTTATGTCTGCAGTCAGAAGAAGGGAGCAGTGATTTGCATGCACTGTACTCCACTTGTCTTCTCCATCTTAGACACTCTGGCACCCCATGCCCAGGAAATGAGCCTACCCACAATTAAGATGGCTCTTCTTATATCAATGAACACAATCAAGACAATCCTCACAGACATTTCCAGAGGCTAACCTTAATCCTGCACAGGTGTGCCTGGGATTAAAAATTATGACTACCCATCATGAATTACTTAATTGCTGCTGTAGGTACTGCTAGATAAGCCTCCATCTGAGCAGACTGCTTAGGAACTTGTCTGCGGAATTTGAAGATGTAGACAGCCACGTTTACCAGCTACCTATGGAGGGGGTCAGGTGACAGCATGTCCCTGATAAGAGTCAGCCGGAAGACAGGAATGGCACAGAACTGAATTCTGCCAATAGTCCCAAGTCCCCCAAAGAACACCTCCTGCTCAGCCTGATGGCCTCTGGAGCAGAGGACACAGCTACCCCAGGGGTCAGCCTGGACTTTCAGCTTTCAGAAAATGCAGAACAGAAAATAGGTCCCCACTGTTTCTGGTAGTTGGTTGTACATGAATATAACAAGAAGCTGATGTCCCAAGGGCAGAGCTGGTGACTCAGAGAAGCAAGCAGGCCTTAGAAACTGGAGTCAGACAATTTCCCATGATCCCTCTGCTTGGGTCGATCAAGCCCCTCTCACTTTCCTACTTAGCAAATTTTGCTCCATAAAGATCACTGTGTCCACACTGGGCTGCCATAACAAATCATCCCCACCATTGGCCAGTCTGTCCATGTGCCTTGGTTTTGAGCTTCTAAAGGGTAGGCCTCTTTCCAGAATTTTCCTTATCCTTAGTATGTCCTTCATCTTTGACTCTGTGTGTATCACATGATGAGTCCTTCACATGTGTGCCTGAAGGACTGAAGTAAAGGACAGCGTGGACAATGAGTGTGTGTGTATAGATGAGTGTGCACGCACACATACATGCCTACATGTATACAGATGAGCATGTACACACATACATGCATACAGATGAGCGTGCATACACACATACATACATGCATGTATACAGGTAAGCAAGCACACACACATGCATACATGTATACAGATGAACATGCACAAACATGCATACATGTATACAGACGAGCATGCACGCACATATACATGCATACATGTGTACAGATGAGCGTGCATACACACATACATGCA